ATTATTTTCATTGTATATAAATTACAAAACTAATAATTTTTTAAAAATTTAATGATAATTTTTTTAACTTGTATATTACAAAATCTTTTTTAATACTTTAATAAATATAACTTTTTAAAAATATTTTCATTAATTTCATAAATTATATTTATATGTCCACATTAAAAAAATACTAAAAAATATTAAAAGTTATACTTTAAATTAATGAAAATATTTAAAAAAGTTATATTTATTAAAGTATTAAAAAATATTTTGTAATATATAAGTTAAAAAAATTATCATTAAATTTTTTAAAAATTATTAGTTTTGTGAGTTATATACATTGAAAATAATATAATGGTAGGTTAGTATAGTATAGTATATTTGTATTCTAATTTTTAATTAAGCTAAAATTACACTAATAATGTATAATAATATATGAGGGGATAATAAATTTAATCAAATTACATTTATATATATATATATATATATATATATATATATATCCTTTTTTAACTTTTTTTTCTTTTTAAACTTCTCACATTCTACATTGTTTTTAAACTCTATCATTTTTACTATATTATCATCCTCATTTCCTCCCATATTCTATTTTATTTTATAATAATTAGTCTTCTTTATAAAATACTTTATTTTCTATTTTTATTATTTATTTTTTTATAATTTAAAATAATTAATATTATTTTAACATTTATTTTTATGATTTTTACTATAATAAATCAAATTAAATGATTCGATAATATCAATTAATTAAAATCATCACATAAAAAATTTAGATAACTACATTAAAATTATTAATTTTAAAAATACAAAATATATTTTAAAAAAAACTCAAATTATAGATTGAAAATAAAATAGAATAAACAAATATTCTTTACTTTATATTATATTTAAGTGTGTGCACAAATGTTGACCTTCTTAACTATAAAGAAACAGTAGAAAAATATAAAGATAGTATTTGAAGAAGTGAATTTTGAAGATAAAGACTATTTTTATATAAATTTATTCTAGTATATTAATTAACAATAATAATACATAAAATTTAAAAACTAAACTAAAAAAAGTAAGTTTAAATTTATAAAAAAAAATACATTACTAAAAGTATCATATTATATTAAGATTTTCATTATTTTCAGTTAATTATAAATTTAAATGTGTTTCATAAATAAAATTATAAATTTAAATGTATTTCCACTTTTGATCCATCATAAATAAAAATAAATAGTCTCTTATAAATGTTGTTCTATTTTAATCCATTATTAAATTTGTTTTATATACGAATTTGATGACTTATCATGTTATTAAAAATTTGGATGAAATAATTATGTATAATACTTTTTTAGTATATTATGTTTTTAAATTTGTTAATAGAGAAAAAGTTTCAGAATTCAAAATGTTAAATACTTTTAAATATTAAAATTGACCTTATAAAAAATTAGGAAAAAAATAATTAATCCAAAAATATAATAATGATAAAAATATTATAAAAAAGAGTTCAAAAATGTATTATAATATTTTCAGTTTTAGTTTAATTATATTTTTAATTATCAAAGTAGAAAAATATATTGTAATTATTTTAATTTAATAAAATATAATTTAGATTTTTAATACTAAAATTAAAATATTAAATAATAATAAATTTAATTCTTTAAATTTAGTATTTAGAAACTAAAATTATAGTTTCTCTCTATTAAAAAATTAAAATAAATATTTAAAAATAAAAATAAAAACTAGTATTATCTTAAATTTATTAAAAGTATAATTAAATCTCTATTTTCTTATGCAATTTTAGAAATTTTTTAATGAAAATCCAATATATAAAAAAGTTAAAATTTTAAAAAGGCACAACCTTAATTTATATTAACTATTTTTAATATAAATTTAAATATATGTTGAATATAAATTTTAAAAAGCATAACCTTAACTATGTTGAATATAAATTTAAATATATTTTTTATTTATTTAAATATGGTTTATTTTTAGTATTTATAAAATAGATTAATTTTAAATTTTTAATCTTTTTTATTAATTATGTTAAAAATAAAAAATATTAATTAGTATACTTAAACTAAAAAATATTTTAACTAAAGATAAATATATTTTTATAAATAGTTTAATTAAATAATATATTTATTATCTAATGTATATTGATATAAATTTTTTTTTGTATATCAATTATATGACAACAACCATGATTAAGTAATTAATAATAATAAAGCAATAAATTTAAAAATTAGATTAAAAATAAAGTATTATAAAATAAAATTGTAATAATTTGATTAAAATTGTATTTTTTAATTAATTAAGTTAATGAGGAATTAAAATGTGATAATTTGATGTGTTTAATTTTTTTAATATAAATTTTTAAAATGTAATTTAATTTCAATTGAAATTTTCAATTGAAAAATAAATTAAAGAATATTTGTTATTAAACTTTTCTTAAACAATGTATTGAATAGTTAATATCACTCTAGTCTTAATTTATTACAATTTAAATTTTTAATAAATTTGATTTATTACAATTCATTTTGTTAATATTGAGACCAAAGTTTATTTTTAAAGTATATTTTAAAAATTAAATTATTTTTAAAAAATAAATTGCTTTTAAAAAATAAATTGTAAAAAATATACTAAAACAATTAAAATATATTTATAAAAAAATAAATTTAAATATAATAAAAAAATAATATTCATTAGTGACCGATTTCAATTCGGTCACTATTTTCTCATTAGCGACCAATTTTAATTCGGTCACTATTTCAATTTGTAATTCGGTCGCTAAATCAGTCGCTAAATGATTTTTTTATTTTAGTATGGAATAGCCACCAATTTAGCGACCGAAATTTTGCGACGCAAAATATTGGTCGCTATTTCGGTCGCTAAATAAAAAAGTGAAACCAAATCATATTTTGGTGGCTAAATTGGTCGATAAAATGCGACCGAATTAACTTGGTCGCTAAATCGGTCGCTAATTGCGACCGAATTAAAGTGGTCGCTAAATTGGTTGCTAATTGCGACCGAAAAAATTCGGTCGCTAATTTCGGTGACTAAATGTGTTTTTTCTTGTAGTGTAAACTAAACCAGCCTTAAGTTGTTTTGGGACATTGTCAAGTTTTCCATTTGCTTAGGTTTTTCGTTCAATGTAACTATTGTTGTGTTATCAATATTTATCTCGTTTTGCTCTGACCTGTCTCTAGTTCGTAAAAAATGGGATAAGATGGGCTAGCTCGCCATAGCGCGAACAAACTATAAATCTCAGTTTGCTCGTCAAAGGGCAGGTTGACGGTCGATAGATTAGCCCATCAATACATTTTTTTAAAATAAAATTTTTTATATGTATTTTTTAAAATATACGTTAAATTATATGAATAATTTTTTAAGTTTTTTATTTATTAACTAATATGTTTATTAGATATATTGAAAAAATTACTATATTTATATGTTAACATGACTAATTATAATCAATTATTTAAACTTAATTAATTAATTTTTATAATTTAAATTATAATATATTCACATATTTTAATAATATAATAAAAAATATAATATTTTAATTATAATTCATTTTATTTTTATTTTAATATATAAATATTTTTTCTAAAGCGTGGTAGTCCGTCTTATCTTGTGTTTAGTACGCCGAATTGACAGGTTAAACGGGACGGACCAAAACGAGCTTGCGAGTTAAATTCATTTTTGTTATTGATGTCAAGTTATGAAATAATTTATCTGTACGGATTATAAGAAGAATTTGAGAGTAGATATTCTTAAGCTAGATCTAACATGACATCTTGTGATATTGAATCAGAATCATAATTAGACCCCTAGAGGGGGAAAGAATAATAAGTAAATGTTGGATTCTTGTAGTAGGTGGTAAGAAAAAAGGTCAAGTTTATGAGATTGGAGATCTTGAACATACTTTTAAATGTGGGGATAGTCTCACATATGAAGATTTTGGTATGTCTAATGATTCACAAGAGATTATTTAGCTAAAGAAACAAGTAAGTAATTATAGAAAGGATAATGAGATACTAAGTAGTCAATTATAATTACTTGTTTCCTTTCCTTCCAATTGATGCAAAACACACATTTCAACAATAACACTAACAACTACAACTATAACGATAATCATGGCAACAATAACAACAATCTCGAGAGCAGTATAATAAGATAATCAACAAAAATCATAACAAATTGATTATTCAAATTATTATTAGTAGTGCGAAACTAGACTTAATTATAGTTTAGTTAAATTTTGTTTTGAATATTAGTTAGATTTTTTGAACTTGGATTGTGTTTTAAACTATTTGAATTTAAGATATTAAAGTTTGAACTCTATTTTGAAATGTCTTATTGAGTTGAATTAAATTTACAGTTAATGCAAATGCAATTGAATGGATTGAATTTGCACTTGATTCATATACAATTTATAAGAATATGAATAAATTTTGTATTATAAGTACTACATCACAAATTGAATTTCAAATTCCTACTTGTTTATCTATGACATGTAAGGAGTATAGGTAAATTTCTTATGGATCCTAAATAGTAGATAATTTGGAATAAATATATAATTTATCTATAGACATGTATTCATATGTAAATTATCTACCGACGGATAACATTAGGTACATTATCCATAAATGCAGATCAATATGAAATTACTCACGGATAAAAATCCATACAAAATTTACCTACTAGCATATTATTTATGGATTCTATGGAAAATCACATGTAAAACATTATTATCTATAGATATTTGTTATTACTTACAAATTTTCTTCCTAAGTAATAATTTTTTTAGTATTTGTTTATTAGTAGAATATTAATATAATTTAACATGGTCACAATAAAAAAGTTAAATTCATATAATATTAAGGATACCAATAAATTAACACAAAAGTAATACTTGCAAGGAGAAAGAGAACCATGGATTAACACCACAAGCAACCACAGAGGACCACCATGAAATTAAGAGCAACCACATTAACAACCTAAACCCTTGAATGAAGGAAGAGGGGCAAACTCATAAAGAGATGGAGAAAGGAGAAGCGAAGCATCGGTGCGACTCATGGAGATAAGAGAGGAGGAAGAGGAGGGTGCAACATACTTCAGAGAAAGTGAGCGGAGGAGAGCATTAGTAGCGAAACTTTATTAAATAATATATTATTAATAAATAATAAAAAAATATAAAAGATAAAAAAATATAAATCGAGAAGAAAATAAAATTATAAATATACAAATAAATATAATCATCATTAAATTTGCACGATCATCAAATATTATAAAATAAGAATATTATAAAACTTAAAATGTGTCTTACTAATTTAGAACATGTTTCATTATCCTAAAGATGTTCCACTTTTTCATGTTTTTAGGTTACATCCACCCATTATATTAAATAAGGAGATGAGTTTGTTGCTCATACTACATCTATAAATAAATCATTTTACACTCTTCTAAAAGACAAAATTTCACTGATTCTCTTTTTTTTTTTTCTTTTTCATTCTTTTTATCCTGAGTTTATTTCTTTTTAAGGATTATTTGCTAGTTTTTGAGATTTTTGTAAATTTTAAGATGTTCCTATTGTATGTATGTTAGGAGACTTGCACAGTATATCGTTGATAAATCCTTAAAGAACATGATTATAAATGCTTATCAAGTTTTATTTGTATCTCTGTCAATTTTTACAATGGACTTATAACTGATAATACAGATACCAACCCCAATTCTACACAGAAAAAGATATATCATATTTCTAGAACTCAAACTGTTTTATGAAACCTATTCGTAGCGCTAAATTGAGTAGCAGTGATGAAGAAGAAGGTTTTGTGAAGACTCTCAGTGGCACTCCGATAGACACGGTCTTCAGTACCGTTTTGTTACCGTTTTATTCTCCCGATGGTAGCCACCAGATGGCGTCAAATAGCCAGGACCAGCATGGAGTCCCTGTAACTATTCTTTCAACAACGATCTGGCTCCCAAACTCTCATGAGCGTAAAGATTCGATGTGACGACAAGTTTAACGATTACAGGTCCTAGGTATCATTGAATAATGTGAATCTTTTTATTATCATTGATTTAGAATCTGTTTAATGATGTTTACATCTATCTTGAACTATTAATTGATCTCTAGTAATCACCTGGAAGCTATTCTAAAACGAAAAAAAAATTTGAGTATCACAAACGAACATCGGCACACGTGTTTAAATTTTTTATGATTGGTAAAGTAGAAAGAAACTGACATCTTGCAAGTTGCAAATTGGTTGAAGTTTCACGTGCTTTTCTGGTAGGGTTCCATTATTGATACTTTGGAGTAATTTACAGTTAGTCGTAGTTTCTTTTCTAACTTGTTATGAATCTTTTTCTTTTGGATAAATTGTTTCCATCTTCAATAAGTAAATAATAAAAGTTGAATGTGGTTTCGATCGTGAGACATGGAATATTGCGCCGTTTTGTTTCTAATTATTAGCGTGGTGGTTCATATGGTTTGAACTTCGAATATGCAACCGTGAATCAAAGCCTAGTGTTTTTGTCCTTTTTGTGCTCCTCCCCAAATTTTGCGTTCTAATAATAAATTATTTCCCGCTCTGTTCTTCCGTTTAAATGCCACACCCTCACCCAGTCGTAGTAATTCTTTTCTATAACTAGTAGTGTTGTTATACTTTTAACATCACTCATTCATTTTTAAGTTGTACCAAAGGTTTGGAGCGAAACCCTAATTTTTTTTCTTCTAATTATATGAAACCAACTCCAATTTATTGCTTTTGCGTGTGAAGGTGGCTTCTCAAGTTTGTAGCTTTGTAACAGTTGAAGCATAATATTGACTTAGAATGGTGTTTGAAGGCTTTGATCCTATCTTTAGTAAACCCAAAGGGGAATGGGCTTCTCAAAGTTCTTATCCTTTTTCCTACATGTAGGACATTGTGAGCACTCTTGTATATCCCCGTAACATGCTAGTAGTTATGTGATTTGACTTACTGTTTTGCGTCTTTTTCTGCTTTGATGTTATTATATTCTATGCTTCATTTTTATAATAAGTTGCTTTTATGATTGAACTGAATTAGTTTCAAAGTTGTTTGTGCTATCTTCTGGGATCGCACACAATTACTACTTGATAAAATGTCTCAAGGAAACTTGACTACATAAACAACAACTTGACGAGGGATAAATTATTTGTACTGTTTGGAGTACTTTAAAAATGATTTTATATTGATATGCTGAACATTTTTAATTCTCACTTACTAGAACCGCATTTTAAATTTTATTTCCTAATAAAGTGCAATGTGCAATGTATAAGATAACAAATGCTATGCTATATTTAGTTTTGAATTATTCTTAAAATTGAATTATTATTATTATTATCCATCTATTTTGTTGAGAGGTTTAACTGATTGGTTCTCAATTATAATTATTATTTTTCATTATCTTGAATTGAGATTTGACTTTTAGAAATGATTTTTATACTTATATAGTTGAAAATTATTTAACACATTTTTTAAAGACTACTAGTGCTCCTCATGAAACATGGTAGGATAAGGCCATTAAGACTAAAATTAACTCAATTAAGAAAAATAATACTTGGATATTAGTATATTTGCCTAGAGGAGCAAAACCTATTGGTTGTAAGTGAATGTTTAGGAAAAAGTATCATCCTAACAAATTCATAGATAAATATAAGACAAGATTAATAGTAAAGTGTTTTAGTCAAAAACCCAATATTGATTATTTTGATACCTTTTTCCCTCTGACTAGGATTTCCTTTATTCGAATTTTGTTAGTTCTAGCAGTTATTCATAAGCTAGTTATACATAAAATGGACAATAAAACAACCTTTTTGAATGGTGAATTAGAGGAGAAAATTTATATGACTCGACCTGAAGGGTGTCTTGTTCCTATTCAAGAGAACAAAATGCGCAAACTTTTAAAATCTTTGTACGGATTAAAACAGGTATCAAAACAGTGACATGAAAAATTTGATAGTACTCTACTTTGTGATGACTTTTCAACTAATGATGTGATAAATGTGTGTACTCTAATTTGAAATTGATGAACATGTCATTATATGTTTATATGTAGATGACATGTTAACATTTGGCACATGCATTGACATTGTTTCTAGAAGTAAGTTGTTATTGGAATCTAAATTTGAAATGAAATACATAGGTGTAACCAATGCGATTTTGGGTGCCAGAATCGTAAAGAAAGGATATATTATTTTACTATCCAAAGAACAATACATTGAGAAACTTCTTAAAAAGTTTGGGTATTATAACTTCAAACCAGTAAGTACCACTTATGATGTTAACTCTAAATTAAAGAAAAATAGAAAAAACTCAATTTCTCAACCTCATTATGTCTAGATAATTGGGAGTTTACTACATTTAGTGAGCTTTTCTAGACTAGACATTGCCTATGCATTAGGTAGACTAAGTAGGTACACTCAATGTCCTAATCGAGAACATTTGTGATGCATTTGCAAGACTTATGAGATACTTAAAAGGTTCAAAGGATTATGTTATCAAATATAGTGGATTTTTCGTTGTACTAGAAGGGTACAGTGATGTTAACTGGATCTCTAATTTAGATAAGATAAAATTCACTAGTGGTTATATATTCACACTCGGGGTAGTGCAATTACATAAAGATCAACCAGACAAACAATTATTGTAAGATCAATAATGGAATCTAAGTTTGTTACTCTTGAAATGGCTGGTAATGAAGCTGAGTGGTTGAAAAACTTCTTAGCAAACATTCCATTAGGAATGTAACCGATCTCATCTATATCAATATACTGTAATTGTCAATCAAAAATAGTTATAACTAAAAATAAGAGCGACAATGGAAAGAACAAATATATATAATTGAGACATAATTAAGTTAAGCAACTGCTAAATAGTGGAACAATTTTTATTGACTATGTGAAGTCAGAACGGAATCTAACATATCCTCTGATGAAATCCTCAGGGAGAAACATGATTTTAGAAACATAGAGGAGAATAAGACTCAAGCCACTTACAAACAAATAAGTGATGGTAACCCAACCTTTGTGGTTGGAGATCCCATGAATAAGGTTCATATGGGTAAAAACAAGTCACTTGTTAGTTCTGCTAGCACTAAAATTGATTAAAATTAATTATGTTCATTCCTATGGTGTGTGAAAGTGTTAGATATTGCACTATTGAGAGGATAAACTTTGTAATTAAAGTTTATGTGATGTACAAATTTTAGTCTAAATAAAGTTTTTAATTATTTAATATCTCTTACGGGTGATGTATGATTTGCAGCATACATACGCTTGATGAAATCACCTTTATGAGTGTCGAGTGGGATTGCTTGTATGAGATTTTTGCAAGATTTCTAGAACACTCATGAATACCAAACACGTGCATGGCTTAGTAAACGTAACACAACGATAACAACAATAATTGTGGGAATATATTGTGATTGTTAAACCGCTAACACACAATAAGTGTTTTGGTTCATATAGTTTGTTATACCAACTACACTATATGTTAAGTTTTTCAATCTAATTCTTACGTACTACATCTTATATGAGACCCAGGATTGTCATCTTTTGTTTTTTATCTCCTTTTGTTTTGTAATACGTGGAAGATTATTGCAAAATAGGGGTATTGCAGAACTTAGAACGTGCCCTACTAACTTAGAACATGTCCCACTATTCTAGAGGTGTTCCACTCTCTCATGTTTCCAGGCCACAACCACTTATGATATTGAATGAGGAGATGAGTTTGTTATTTATACTACACCTATAAATATACCACTCCATATTCCTCCAAAAAATATAATTTTACTAATTCTCTCTTTTCTTTTTTTTCCATTTTTTATACTGAGTTTACTTTTAAGAGTTATTTACTAATTACTGATATCCTCGAAAATGATGAGAATTATATCGTAAAGAATTTACTCAATATACTACAAATAAGTCTTTTAAGGACTCGTGTCTATCTTAACTTTTACAACAATGAATACATATGCACTTGGTACATGAGAGGAATGAGTTTACAGCAACAAATGAGAACAAAGAGGTGCTAAATTAAATAACTATAATTGTATATAACATAAGAAGATAATTTATTTTACAATCATCATAGTTTGTGATATTCAATATCATCATCGTATGTGATCTTACTAATATCTTTTATCCCTTCATCTTTTAAAGATTTCCATTATTCGCATACATTTGAGATTTACGATATCTCCTCTGTTTGGACAGTCGCTCTGCAAACCTGATTAAAAAAAATAGTCAAGTGCACATGAAATTGATTTGAAGCAAGTTAAACACTAATGTATATAGATTTTGTTTCATACAATTACATTGGTAATCAATTATTATAAGTATATAAAATATGTATTACTTATATATATACCTTTTCAAGGCATCTGCATTTGTTTCATGAGAGTCAACAGGTTCATGAACACCAGTCCTCAAGTTAATCTTTGAAACTGGTTTCTTTAACAATGATTCCCCAACTTGGACGAGACCATTCAAATTCTTCTCCGTGGCCACGTCAACCGAAGATAAGTCCCCAGTTAAAGTATCGTCCTACAAAATTGAATATGAGAACTCATCAGTTTTCATTGTAAACATGATATATATATATATATATATATATATATATATATATATATATATATATATATATATATTTATATATATTAATGAACCTGGATTCTGAGATAGTTGTGTTCGGAACGGAGTGCTTGGAATACGGAGGAGATGTGGAAATCAACCATGTCAGAACTGGCTTGAGTGAAGGCATCGATCAGAGGGGTGCCACCATTGGCTGTGGAAAGCCAACTGAAGATGCCCCATTGAGCTGCCTCAGCGGCACTGTATTTCTTTTCCTGTTTCTGAGAACCTGTTCCCAATGATATCACCAAAAAACTATCATATTCCATCGGTTTCACATTCAAGCTAGCACATGGCCCTTCAAGGGAAATTTGGTTTGTCACTTCTGCCATGGCCACCAGTGCCTGGAAAACACCAAATTAGCATATATATCACATGTGTCCTTGTTATGATCAATTAAACGGCCTAATCATATCATAATCTCCGTGATTCATTTGAATCATATGGTTGAGATTTTACTTTTTTCATTTGAATTATAAGGTTGTGCATGTACCGGATTATTTGCTGCGACACCACCGTCTATTAGGTCAAACTTGCCCATGACATTGCCATGGTGGGTTTTGGTTTCAAAGGAATGAGCTGGAAGATAGGTTGGAGCTGCTGAAGTTGAAATGCATATATCCGACAACAAACCATTCAAATCTGGCCTCTTCTTCAACTGTGACATCACATAATTGTGATAAATATTTTAAATGAGCGAGAAAGACAAACAAACAAACATTAGACAAATAATGTGTACTAGTCTGCAATTTTAATTTTCAAATAATATTTCCATGAATGATTAACTATATATATATATATATATATATATATATATATATATATATATATATATATATATATATATATATATATATATATATATATATATATATATATATATATATAATTAAGAGAAGAGGGGATGAACCTGGAAGCTGGAAAAAATGGTGGGTTGAAGATGTTTGATATCAAATGCTGGGATAACGACATTGGTTAATGTTTGTTGAAGTTTTGTTTCCCCTGAGGAGCTTGTGTAAATAGTTGCCGTCGTACTGTGGTCCAACCAGAGCTCTGCCGAACTTCATCACCGACAAGATTAAATTGCAGCAACTGTATTAGGGACCATTACACTGTTCATTAGTACATACTGATAAAATACGTTTATATATATATATATATACTCTTGAATGATTTGGTATTTGAAGTTTATGGTAAAGTGTGGTATTTACTTAATCTGGGGGAAGATTTTTGGGCCATGCTGAAGGTAGAAATCCTTAATATCTTTGGCTGCATACAAAGGTCGGTTATTTTGATTCGGAGCAGTAAGCATTGCAGTAATTAATCCCCCAGTGCTTGTTCCTGCAATCACATTAAAGTAGTCTGCTAGCCTTACATGATCACCGTCCAGCTTCTGTATATGCATCAGTATTAGTTGAGTGCATTAGTTAAAGGTTGAAGTAGATAACAAGTTTACAAAAAAGTTAATATAGGGATGATACTTAATTTACCATGGACCGAAGATAGATTCGAGTTTTACATGTTTTAAAATGTCTGAGTAAGAGTAAGAGGGCAGAGATTTTTATATTTAATATGTCTCATTTTTATATTTAAATTTAAATTTTAAAATAATAATATTTTTAAAATACTTTTTTATTTAATATATTATATATAAAAAACTTTTTTATTTTTTATTTGTTGATATTTTTTTGTTTTTTATTTTTATTTTTTAATCTATTATATTATTTTTATAAAATATTAAAATTAATTTATTATAAATATAATTATTATTTAAAAATAATGTAAAATAGAAATCGAACGAGAAAATCAAAACTCAACATAAATAAATTTTGAGACTTAATTTTTAATAAAAAGAAAATAAAAATAATTAACAAAAAATCACACCTCAACCTAATTCGGACAAAAAAATATTACATACAATAAATAGAATATAATATATATATATATATATATAATAGAAAAAAACAATTATGAATAAATAGACCCTTTAATGCCGACTATATTATTAATAATATAGATTTTTAACTTATAATTTATAAGTTCAATTTTTAATATATTATTATTCTTTATATTATAATGTATTAATCGTAAATAAAAATACGTATAATAATACATAAACTTTAAAAATTTAATTCAATAGACTTTATTTAGCATTAGGACAGAAGTGACCTCATCTATCAATCAATCAATCAGTGTGCAACAACATAGTCTTGGGGGGCAATTACCGTACTTTGATGTACGTCCACCACAGATTGAATAAACATTACAATTATTTTATAATACGATCAAATGTCATTATTTTAAAACAGAAAAAATAATGAATAAAATAGAAAACTATATTTAATTCAAAAAATAAAATAAAAATGAGAGATATGTGTTATGAAAAGTTACAGATATTGTTACACTTTCTGGGATGAAAAATAGAAAAAAAGATGGAGAGGAAAATTTTCTCTTGGTTAGCATATTACCTGAAGCTCTGCTTCTAGGAAAGCCAGTATTACTCCTGGAATGATTCCCCGAATGCCACCACCATCAATACTAAGCACTGTGATTAAGTGTCCCTCATCACTTTTGTATGGAGTTTGATAAACAAACCCTTTCGTTTCTTCCATCGAATTGAATTGATGGCTTGGTGCAAGAGAAAAAGAGTGAAGAGAGGAATGAACTGAGCTTAGTGAAAGGAAAAGAAAATCTAGTTTTTCATGGCTTAGACTAACGAGGGGAAGATGTATATATAGCGAGAGAGAGATGAAGCATGTATAGAATGAGCATGCTCATGATCAGTTACTGTCTTGTTTACAGCGTGTTAAATTAATTTCCATAAAACGTTCGTCTTAGGAAAAGCCTCAAATTATTTCAATAAAAAAAATGGAGTTTTCTAACAACCAAACTCTAAATTCAAAAATTGAATCCTTGTATATATTTTAAGGTCTCTTTTATTTATTTATATAAATATAAATATAACAGATGCCATACATATATAAGAACACAGTTTTTGAAATTAGAATTTGGTTGTTGCCGTTTTTTTATATATTATTTTTTTTCTTATTTAAATAAAAATTATTAAAAACTTTTTGGTATAAAAAAAAATCTACGATTCTTTTTTACAATGTTAGAGTTGCAAAGTAATTATTAATATTTTTTTCCATAATCTAATTAGTTTATCACTTTTAGAAAAAAAAAACTATATTGTTATCTTATCTATAACATTCAAACTCAAAATCTTAGTTGTAAAAAATTCAATTCAATTTTAATCAAACCAATATAATATTTATTATGTTAATATTGTTAAAAATTAAAAAAAAGTTCTATTGAAAAATACTTCTTTTATTTAAATATTAAATTATTTACTATTATACCTAATTAAGAGTTACGAAAACTAGTATTGGATATGTAATGTAAAATATATATATATATATTTATTTTATAACTCAAAAATTCATATTAAATATCTTCAATGTATTAATTATGTTTTATATTTATCATAAACAAATTATATTGTAATACTTGATTATTATAAATATTTAAAAAAATACATATATTTTAATAAAATTAGAAATAAAGATAAAAAAATAAACACGATTAAAAGAGATAAATGTTTACAAAAATTCTCTTGTTGAATCGTAGATTCTAAAACACTTTCATTTAATATATCATTCTATAAAAATTTTAAAAATTATATATATATATATATATATATATCGAATGGGTTATTAAGGAATTTTCTTCAACAATAATATTTTGAAGGCTTTAACTTCTGGTGTCTTTGGATTTTTTTTTTAATCTATATTTTTTTAAAATATAAAATAATTAAAAGTAGCGTATTATCAAATATTTATTATAAATATAAAATGTAATTTGTGTATTTAAAATAACTATTCACTATAAATTTTAATTATAATACAATTTATATATAAAAATAATTATTATTTAAAATAAAAAATTATCCTATACACTGCACAACTAAATAATCAATAGAATAGATATATGTTTAATATTATTTACCTAATACTTTTGGACACACTTTAAAAAATTCACTTTCAAAATTACTAAAGATATATATTTTCTTAGTCTCAAAATTTCTTTAACTTAGTTTTGATTTATCCCGATAAATGAGTGGCTTTGAAATATCAACATTCACTACAATATTAATAAGTATTGTCTTACAATACAGTTATCAATTGTTGAAAACTAATTAATTCACAATTGCATTTTAAATAATGAGTGTTTTAGTAAAAAATTACTTTGTGGTGCTGTATCAACTACCTAAAATAATAAATTTAGGATATATATATATATATATATATATATATATATATATATATATATATATATATTATCTTTTAAAAAAATTAATTTATTTATACTATAAAATTTTTCATTATCATTTAATTATGGATTTTTAAAATTGGTTCATTTTTATTATAATTATAAAAAAATAATTTTAAATTAATTATTAATATATATTTTTACATTGATTTTTTTTGGAGAATAATCTTATAGAGTATCAAAATTAATTATTTTCATAAAAAAAAATATTATTAAAAATACGAAGAAATATTCATAATTTATAACCATTATTTTAAAATTTGTATTAGATCCTTTGATTCAACTGATGATCTAATGTAGAATTTAAAAATAATACGTTCTTTTTAAATAATTAAATTTTAATTATATTAAAATAAAAAAATCAATACAAAATCAATAAATAAAAATTTAATTGATTAATATAAAAAATTCAATTGTCAAACGTTTTTAATATTAGTTATGTGACTTTCAAATAATAATTATTTTATCATATTTTATATTTTAAAATTATTATTTATAAATTTTTTTAATTTTATATTAATCTTACATTTTTTTAATATATTTTATATTTATAATTTATTATAATTATAATAATAAATTTGTAAAATATTATTAATAAATTTATTATATTATAAAAATACATGTTTTTTACCTGATGGTTTTAAAAACATTGTTTATAAATTTATATTCCACCTGTGGATGCTTACGAGTCAACAAGATATTATGTGAATGAAAGTATACAACTACCATCATTACTTTAAAATAACACGACTATTTTTATTTTTTTTCTTTTTTGGACTCGTTTAAATTATGATTAATTAAATTCTCAAGACTTCAAAGTCTCCTTAATTATTATTGTCAAAACAATAACTCTATATTTGTTCCTATTGCAGAATTTATTTTTATATACAATAATTGTGAATTGGAAAAACTACAATTATAACTAAATGCTTAGAAAAGTATAAAAATGTGATGCATGTGTTTCTCTCTGTGTATCATATCCATGACTGCTTTTGACCAAGACCATTATAAGTCTTAGCACCTAATCTATGTTCAGAAACAACATTAAAAAAATAATATTGTTAATTAAATAATTAATAAATATAGTACAATAAATTACAAAAGTTAAGGTTAAATTATATTCTTTTTCACCTATTTAGAATATTTAAAAAACGATATACAGCTTAAAAAAGTAATTGAATTGTTATTTATTTAAAATAAATAATTAATCATGTTATTAATGTTAAATATTAATAATTTTGTTGTAACTAATTTTCTTCCTATAGTCTAGTTTATCACTTTTAATATATTTTTCTTCTCTATTATATTTTTTATATTTACTGCATTTGAAGACTTTATTTAAGAAAATTGGATTTAACTCACATTAGATCAACGATTATAAAAGTTATCTTTAACTATACTTGAAAAATATTTTAGTATAATAAAAAAACATTGAAAGAAATTACTTTCAAATAGTTGAAAAATAAAAGAAGCATTTTTGTCTTAACAATAATCAATATTTTAAAAGCAAATTTTACATATTTACATTGTAACTTGACAAAAAAAATTTACTTTTTAAAATATACGAATGGTGTTCGAACTCATCCACCTGGAAAAAAAAAAAGGAAGAAGAGAGAAATAAGATATATAATTTGTTTTAAAAATAAATGTTTCTTAAAAAAACCTGCAAGAGTAAATGTCTAACCATATCATTCCATCAAGTTTTGTAAATGAAAGATTCAAAAATTATTTTCATTACAAGCATAATCATTTATAATTTTTAAAACAGTAATGAATTATAAACAGGAAAATAAATAATTCTCTCCATCTCTTTCATTAACATTTAAGAAAAAATCTGATTATTTTTATAGATAAATTTTAAATAAAATATTAAATATAAATAATATAAAAAGATGGTCAAATTCTTATGATAATTAGATATGACAAAACCAACTAGTTCCAATGAATTGGGTTGGTAGTTATAGTTTATCCATCCTTATTGACCTATATCTTGTGACGTATGCCTTAATATTATATTAATATTATTGTGCAAGAAAACTTCGTAACGAAGTTTTCCTCATGCACAGTAAAAATTTTTGTATATATGAATACTGAAGCGGGAGAGGAGGGAAATCAAAATTTTCCTCTCATCCTTCTTCTTCTATTGTCTAAATTTCAAGCAACGAGACTCTACTCGTGCAGAATCTGGTGAAACGGGAGAGAACTTGAATTAAGTGGGAAAGCTTCGGTAGAAATACCATACCAAGTAAGGGGAAGTTTAATTCATTCAATATATGAAATTGAATTGTTGAGTACTCGTGAATAAGGAATAGGAGTAGAAATATGAAGTATTGGAATGTCTAATTTTGAAGAATTTCGATTTTTGATGAACTGCTTCACCGTTTGAAAGTTTTTTTGAAATTCTTGAAATTAATGATGAATTATATACTAAAATTGTTGTTTTTAACTTAAATTGAATATGTTTATGGTTAAATTTTGAATTGGAACTAATTTGGGTGATTGAAACTGAGAAATTTGAAATCTGGATTTTGAAAATGGCGGACTGGAAAATCTGCAAAACTCGCTCAAGCGAAAAACACGTCGCTTGAGCGAGAATACCTGGAAAATTTGGGATTCTCGGGTCCTTTATCGCTTAAGCGACTGGTGTACTCGCTTGAGCGACAAAGTCTTCAAACAAAGGTGACTCTCTGGTCATGTCTCGCTCAAGCGACCGGTGTACTCGCTTGAGCGACGAAGCCTTCAAATAAAGGGGACTCTCGGGTCATGTCTCGCTCAAGCGACCGGTGTACTCGCTTGAGCGACGAAGCCTTCAAACAAAGGGGACTCTCGGGTCATGTCTCGCTCAAGCGACCGGTGTACTCGCTTGAGCGAGAGAAGGAAGAAGAAAGGGATATGGTGGGGATTTTTTTAAAAGATCAAGGGCAATTTTAGGAAAATATATATATATAAAGAGAGAGAGAATGAAAGTAGAGTGTTGTGACGTGTGTGGGTCAGACTAAGCCTGAGGGTTGATGCCCAGAATCAGTCCTGAGACATTATATATTGGCTAGACTGAGCCAGAAGGTTGGTGCCAGAATCAGTCAAATACTATTTTTATTGACTCGCATGAGCCGTGAGGACAGGTGGTCCAGAATCCGGCAAATGTGATTAAATTTTGTATGTTTGAATGGTACCCGGGGTGGTACAGAGTACATTAGTGTAATAATTATGTCGGAGGATTCTGAATGAGGTCCCAGACTTCACGGATTGGTCGGGTCAGGTAGACTACGAGATCAGGTGGTGA